ATGCAGAGTGTTTAGCAAAGAAATGTATGCGCAATGCAACATTTTAGATAAGCAGTGGATATAGCAAGGCCAGTCGGTGAGGCTGTGATGGGACGTGTCACTAGTTTAGCCATTAATGTACGAAAGCTACTTGGGGCAAATTTATGATGACGAGTGGAACTTGCTGAGGCCGGAGGATTGGAATGTATGGATATGAATGTTGTGTAGGCTACAGACCAAAGACAGCTTACAGTACATAGGATGTAAAAAAAACTGTGGCATGCACTCGGCCCCATGAAGTCTTGGCTTACAAGTGGAGAAAAAACCGGGACTGAGTTGGGAGGCCTTAGCTGATTCCTCCTGCCGTCTCTACACGTATATTTACAGGCCAGGCATGGCCGGGGGTATAAGACTGTCGGGGGTGGGTGATCTTTGTCTCTTTCATGTCCAGCCGCTCACGGATAATGGAAGGAGATAGCAATTAGGGACTGGCTGGATGACTGAATCACATATAGGATCGACCAGCCACCACGATCGTGCAGGGCAGGGAGCGAGCGTCACCGTTGGCAGTGTTCAGAGCACGTCTCGGTATAACCAGGTTGGAGAGATGGCCACAGGGCCAGCAGGACACACCTGTGTCGGGGTGAGGGCGTCCTGGTAGGTCACTTAGCTGGGCGATATGGCGGTGGGAGATCTCAGCCACCCCGACGTGTACTCGTGGTGTGTAGATTGCTACAGCCCGGATGACATGGAAGCCGAGGCTCTTTGCCTTTGCATGAGAAACGGGCATGCTCCCATCTGGGCATTCAATCCCTCTGGCCCTACGTGAGCCTTGGGGGAGTTTAAGTACGATAGCACAGATCTGGACAACTAGAGTCAAGCCTTGACAAGGCTGAATGTGTATTTCTATGTTAGTGATTGTCTGCCACTGTTGCACAGCTGTGACCCGCGAGGATTCCATTTACCTGATCCTTTTTGACACACAGGTTGGTTTTGGATTCTGTGCTAGGGATACTTGCACTCTCCGCAACGTGTTGGGAGGTTATACAGGGGTGGTGGTTGTGGTGGGGTGTCTGGGTCGGCCGGTGCTGCACCAAAATAGTTATGTTGAGCATTTATATAAGATGCACAATTGCAGAGGAAGAGAGGAGAGGAGATGGGATGAGGGAGAAAACCTGGCTGAAACTTGGTGACTCCCTCGCGACACTGCTCCACGATGCCGGCTCCTCGTGGCCCAACACGACATGGGAAAGCCCTCAGGGTCGGGAAGCCACTTAGCGTGTAGGATGTCAGTGTGACAGATCCCTGTTGGCCACAATCTGAAATAAAAAAACTGATCTGATCAGTATCCCTAAACATTTTAAAGCCAACTCCTGGCTCCTTTATCTGAAGAGGAATATCTGCCTGTTAATGTGGGGGATATCAATTCAGCCTATGAATCAAGAATGTCTTATGATAATTAGTAAACATCCTTCTACTTTAATTGCTGTTTAGTTGATAATTCCTTTTAACTAGAAGCTATTACTTATTAGTGTAAACTATGATTAAATGAGACAAACAGAGCGTTCTTTGGCTGCAAGTGGGGTAATAGTGAATAATGAAAGCCAAACTCTTTTCACCAAGAATAACAAAGGGTGCAAGTACACTTGTAGTGTTTGGATTACATACATTACATGCAGAAAAACTGACGCATACATAAGCCTCAAGGGAGAAGTCTGGTCATTCATTTATAGTGTAGATACTTATACTGATGATCGTTCAATTACATTAATTCAGAATGATTTTTCTTTTTGCTGTAGCTGCAGCATTTGTCTTCATAGTTGATTGCATTCAATATGTAAGTAAGTCACATATGAGTGAAAGGAGGTTTGCAGCAATCATTTTTATCTTTGTGGCCGTTGCCCCTAATTCCATTACCTTGAGGCGGACCTCCCACCTTTAGGGAGGCGCCACCTCCACCTCCTCCATGGGCCAGCGGGTTTCCCAGCCTCCCATGCTACTGCCCAGCTTTGCACCGGATCACCTACAACACAACATCCAAGCATCTCAGCTGTCCTGGCTGCCATCTTCATCATAGATAACAACTCTCTGAGGCATTTTAACCATTCAGGGCTACAGTGGAAGCAGCTCTTTATTTGGAAGATGGAGAAAAAACAGCGTTGTTTACTGTATGATAGAAAACAAGACCACAGTCATATCATCCATTCAACTGTGAATTATAACAGACTTCATAAAAAACTGCTCCTCAAAATAAACTTTGACCTTTTTTTCCCATTGTGCAGATTATGTTGCCAACAACAGGGAAGTCTCAGTAGCACTTGCTTTAGGTCATCTAAGAGACACAGAACTCTCCAGTGACTTCTTTGTATCTGCTTACTATGTTGGGAAACAGAGGGACTGTTTTCTTTGCACGTGTTAAATCGAACTAATATATCCAATATAAATACCAAGATAAGATTAAACCGGTACCTAATGATACCCTTCTATCTGTAAACATTCCCTGCTGCCTTCTATAAACAGCTGAACCGAACCGAGCAGAGTCCTGGCAATCCTCGCAGGAGTTTTGGGTATAGATTAGCTCAAATTTATTCCAACATTTGCACAAGTTCACTTACCCTGCCTGCAGTTGCCATGTTTCACAACCGGACCCTTGCTCACAAGGTTAGGAAAGAGTTCTGAGTGCTTATCAAAGTTCAGACCAATCACAAAGAAGGGCTGCGCCTGTGTGGGCTGTGTCCAAACACTGTTCTGTGGATCTTTTTACTTCCTACAATGCCCATTTCCTCCCTCCTTCCAAACCCCAGAAAGGTATTATAGAATATGTACAGTGTATACAGTTTGTTTCTATTAAATTTCAATTTAAGAGTGTGCTTTCTGGTTTAAGATCTTTAGTAAAGGATTTAGGATAAAAAAAACATAGGTTACGATTTTTCAATAATTTTTTTTGATTTTTTCCTCCAAAATTTATTTCTCTTTGAGTTCAGTTACATTTCAGTTTGGGTTTAGTGCTTTTAGTATAGTTAATTGTATTTTTAGGAATTAATTTATTACTGTTACAGATTAATTATTTAATTAGATAGACAAAATAATTCCTTTAACCCCCTTCAAAAATAAAACAACATTTACAATGAGCCATTACACTTACACAATATTTTTGGTTTATTTAATTCAGAATTAATGTAAACAAACACAGTCGGTCTACGGAATCATTACAAATGTGAGGTCGCTACTTTTGCCAAACAAGTTAGAATGCAAGATATGACAAAACTGTTATACTTTACCTAGCCTAGTAGAAAATTTATCCAAGGTAACCACAGTAACTCTAGTGTGTGAGGATCCTGCTGAATCAGCTGTTGTTTTTCCCAAGATCATGATAATGATCAAAAAACACAGAGCAATCATAAACTGTAGTTTCTCCACCATAAAATCTCACATCAGCTGTTATTATGGTTTGATATCATTTCATTTAGTGTGCAATATCCTATCCTTTATTAGAAATTCTTCAAGAAACACCCAGAAGCACTGCTTGGGGACAAATCCTGGAGCCCATCCGAGCAGAATAATTACAACACTGTCCACCAAGTTAAGCAAACATTGATATAACTGGGCTGGTGTGTGTAAATCTGAGCTAAAACTATTTGACTGACACTTTAATCATGGTTTAATAGAGCATTCAGAGACATGGCAGACAATGCTGTAGACATGTAAATGCTGTTCACAATCAAACCAAAACACAAACAATGAAACCATGGAGCCCATCTGTTTAAAACATTTATTATACTCAATAAACACTTGGACATGTTTAGCTTTGGCTTAGGTCAACACTGCAACTGATTCTCACAATCTGTAAGTAATTTTATTAAATAGTGTTGATTATTCAAGGTCAGGCATATATAGCTATAGTGCATCATTTGATAGATCTCCTTATTATGTGTGGCATATTATTTGTATGAACAGAGTGGTAAATTGAATTAGTTTGGGGTCAGTGGCAGCATCCCAGTGGTCTTATTGTGAGGAAACTTTCAGGACCGTCCGGATGCTGTGGAACATAGAACAGAGAAGTGAGCAGATGTGCACCTATTCATTTATCTGTGTTGTTGTTGAGTCATGAATGGTGGAGATTAAACCTACCATTTGCCTTGCTTCATCAGTTCAATGGTGTCATTGATCTGGTCCAAGGTCATGTTGTGAGTGATGAACTCATCCAGCTTCACCTTCTTGTCCATGTAGGCTTTGACCATCTGAGGCACACCAACCCTACCCTTGAAGCCTTATCCACAAAATGCACAGAAAATCATAAATTAAGGGCATAGTCTTATCCAGAATACTTGCTAGAGAATCCAACTTTCCTAAGTCCCGCCTCTTTTTGCTCTACGCTCCAGTAACAGTTGAACTTGGTCAATTTTCTCCTTTTCTGTACATAGATATGTGCTAGCCTGGTCTATATTGAAAAGACTTTTGAAGATGGTTAAAAGATGAAAGCGACATATAGTCAAATGCTAAGTTTGTTAACGTTAACAAAATGCTAGCTAACTAGCTAGCTGATCTAATTAATCATTAACTAGATAGTTAAATCTGTCAGCTAATGTTAGCAAAACGCTAACTCAAAATTTGGTTCTCTTTTCAACATAGCTAGACGAGCCTAGCGCATAGCATATCTAAGTACAGGAAAGGAGAAAGTTGACCCAGGTTCCAAAGTGGGCAGGACTTAGAGTCCTGATGGTCCAATTTGTCTCACCTCCAAAGACAGAGCCCTTCCATGTGCGCCCAGCGATGAGCTGAAGCGGTCGGGCAGAAATGTCATGCAAGTCTGTCCATCCAACAATCACGCTGACTCCCCAACCTTTCACACAAGACTCCAAGGCACTGCGCTAGACAGAGATAGAGCACAAAGTCAGCAGGCTTGTAATCAGTACGGTGCCGGTCCAAATCTCTGGGCTAGATGAGGAAATGTGGGCTGGATAAGTGAATGAATGACACTCAACTTTTTTTCAATAACTACTGCTGGAACGGCACAAGTGAGCAAAGTTGACTTTAGGCAACACATCTTCATTGTATTCTTGAACCAGATTAAATTAAATCTCTCTACCATGACTCCCACATTCCCGGCACATTCCAGGGAGAAGTCCACTCCTCCGTTGGTCATCTCAGCAAGCACTTCACTGATGGGTTTATCGTGATCCTTTGGGTTTACGAAGTCCGTCGCACCAAGCACCTTAGCCTTCACAAACTTCTCTGGATTGATGTCCACGGCGATGATCCTCTTGGCTCCTGCAGACTTGCAGCCCATGACTGCAGCCAAACCCACGGCTCCAAGGCCAAACACAGCACATGTGGAGCCTGGTTCCACCTAAAGTAAAACAGACTTCAATTAACATGGTACTTTAGATTGGACTTCTTGATGATCCATACTGTAATAATCAATAGAAAAGGTTGTTTTTTTTGTCCTATAATGTGTGATTACTATGTTGTTTCAATCTAACAATAAAGACTTAAGCTATCTGCAAGAGTAAATCATACACACCTTAGCAGTATTAACTGCTGCTCCATATCCTGTGGAGATACCACAGCCGAGGAGACAGACTTTTTCCAGAGGGGCTGCAGGGTCGATCTTAGCCACAGCCATCTGGTTAACCACAGTGTACTCAGAGAAGGTACTGGTGCCCGTAAACTGCAGCACCTTCTTGCCCTTACAGGTAAACCTGGACTCTAGCGGTGCCATCACATTGGGACGAGTGGCCCTGAACAAGATAATTTTTTGATGTAAAAAACCTGGGTTCAGGGTTCATTGCATACGTGCATTATTCTTAATATAAAAAACAAACAAATAAACATACAAAGATGTAAACTATCAATCCTCTGGTGTCATTAGACAGCACCTAAAGTTGCCCCACTGATACATGTTCAATAAAATGTTTTCATCTAAGGGGTCTATATTTGTATGAACACAAGAGGAATGAAATGAAAAGCTGGGAATGAAAAGAAAATGGAGTGGATGGAGGAAGATAAGTGTTTATTAAGCTTACCATCCTTTCTCACACTGGTTGGTCTTTGGGCTCTTACAGAAGCGACACTCTCTACACTGGGAGATGAACAGAGGGAGGACTTTGTCTCCTGAAAGACAAAACCAATGTTGCCATGTGACAGGCAAATTAATTTTAGGCCAACTTTTGTAAGGCTGTGAAGAAAATATTGGCTGAATGGCCTCAGTTTCCTTACCTCCTACACTTCCACTAATAACCTAAACAGTTGTTTTTACATTTCTGTTAATATAGAATTTAGTGACATCTAGTGGTGAAATTGCAGATTGCAACCATTTGAATACAGCCTAGCCTAACAGAAACTAAGGCACTATCTAAAGCCAGTGTTAGGTTAATCCCTTTTGGGCTACTGTAGAAACAGTGTTTCAACATGGCGACCTCCGTGGAAGAGCGTCTAATTCTAAGGTAACTAAAACACAGCAATTCTTATTTTCAGGCGATTATAGTTATGAAAACGTACCTATACTTATTACAGTATATTCCATCTCTGCTAATAAATACTCCTAAATGCTACACACTGGACCATTAATAAACAGGTCATTACAGTTAGAATATAAAAAAGAATTCTCGTTGGAATGAAAGTTTGAACTTTGACAATAAAGGGACAGCCGTATTGGTCACTGTATTGGTCAGGGTAGCTGTATGTAGTCTTTACACCAATCTCCATACCAAACACATGGACATCTCACAATCAAATATATTCCAAAATGTTTTACAATTTGAAACTCACCTGGCTGAATTTCCGTGACTCCAGGCCCAATGCTCTCTACGATCCCGGCTGCCTCGTGGCCAAGAACTGTTGGGAAGCCGTCTTTATGCATACTCTCCAACAGGTGGTACAGGTCCGAATGGCACACCGCAGTCGCCACAATCTGTACCAAAAAGAGTGACCAAATGATGAAAACATAAAGACGATTAAGGGGACAGACTAACACCTTCTGGTCAGTTAGTCAATTGGTTGGTCGATATGCTCTGTTCCAAAATTCTCATTGGTTAGACAATCGCTGGTGTTACTTTCATAAGCTCTTCTTTTTTTTCATGAGCGTGAGGGACATATACAGGCCTTATGTATTTTATTGATAGGATATATTTTTAGAAATACCAATAAATATTTATGAAAATGATATCCAAATATATTTTACTCAACATATATATATAATTATATTTATAGTTTGGTTAAATTAATAACCAAACTAATTGACACAATGTCAAATAACCAGCAAAAGGCCCCCAGCCTCAGAGGACAGGAAGAGCTGAGTTTATTTTTGTCCATTTTACCAAGGACTGATTTCTTGATGTTCAAGCTCAAATTCAAACTATAAGTGTTGCCATGTTTTGTGTAGTTTTAGTCCTAAACCTGCTGAACTTTGCATTAGCATGTTGTGCGGCCAAGTGGACGTTGTAATATTGAGGGACAGTCGAGAGAAACTGTCTGAACATTAACCTCATTTGAAGCAAATAACGAGAGTAGCAGGTTGGATTCCGGTAACTGTTACTTTTTCTGGAGCTGCACCGCTTTATACTGCATTAATTTTGTTGTTGTACGGAAGCCCATTTTGCTCCTCGGTCCTTGCCAGTATATGTCTGTGTGTGTGTTGCTATATGTAAATTTACTTGATAGACATGTCTTGAGAAAAAGAAGAGATGATCAAACTGCAGAAATTCATTTTCGACTTTCTTTGGTTGACTACAGCCCTATTAATGTGTGTGTTCCTCTGTGACTACCACTGTGCAGAGTTTCCAGACTTTTTTGGCTGGGGTGGTACAAGAAGGGCACTGACTTATGCAGGGGTGGCATGAAGTCTGTGTCTCATCTTTCCATTCATTCCCAATTTATGCAATTCCAACACTGTTTAGGGACCCCAGTATGCAGAAATATTCAAATACAACAGGCGAAAATAACACATTTATACCACAAAAAACCTCCATGGGATTAGCATAAAGCGGGCATGTCTGCAAAGTGGAAACTTGTGGGTACCTATAGAACCCATTTTCATTCAGATATTTTGAGCTCAGAGGTCAGAGGAATCCCTTTTAAAATAATCATGCCAGTTTTTCCAACGCCAAAATGTTGCCTAATTTTGGAGTCCCCCTTCGAGGTTAGATCATCTAGTTTCATATGATACCAGTATCTTCACTTTAAAACAGACCCCACTAAAGCCTCTGAAAGACAGTGTGGAGTGGGAGAGGTAAGGATAATGGGGTTGCACTTGGGGTGCCCCCCCCGCCACTGTGTGACTAAGGGAGGTTGCTGCAGAGAGAGAGAGTAACACAGCGTGTGTGTACGTGCATTCTGAGAATAGACTCTCACCTTGATGCGGACCTCGTTGGCCTGGGGCGGGGCTACCTCAATCTCCTCAATCACCAGAGGCTTGTTGGGCTCCCAGGCCACTGCCGCCTTGCACTTGATGACCTAGAGGGTAGTGACAAAACATGAAATTACCCATCACATGAAATAACCTGTGGTATGATAAATACTTCTGTGGACTGTTAATCTGTAATAGGAAGGGTTACTAAAAAAAAGAGCCACAGTGCCAGAGTGACTGTATAGTTTCGAACTTTGTGCCAAGTAAAACAGAATATGAGATATCTCACTGAGGCAAAGGTGATAGAGTTAGAGGTAGAAAGGCATAGACAGAAAGAGCGGATATTTTAAGGTTGAGCTTAAACTTAGCAATTGCATATATTACATAACCAAATGTACAATAAAATACTGCACAGGGAGGCACAGAAGCATGCACAAATGTGAGCTGCACAGAATACAGAATTCCATTCAAAAGAATAGTATTAATGTATGAGGTACTGTATCATTGCTTTTTCTTGCTTTGTTTGATTTTCATGTGTGATTTTTAGCATGTGTGCATAAACACAGGTTTGTCAAACCTATCATGTGACATAATAACATTCAGGCAAAAAAAACCTGAATAGAACCATCCCAGAAATATGACTTGTTGAATACTTACCTTACCAGCTGTGGCCATTGCTGCAAAGATATGAATAAACAAGCGAGAAAGGAGTTCAGAGAGGACTGCAGCTGCAGGACAGGAGTGGGGAGGAGACAACAAGAGATCCTGGTTATATATTGCAGCAGTATTTAACAATTTTGGCACAAATTCAGATGGGCAGGGAGTTATTGTCAATTCCTTGAATTCCCTGTGATCCAGAAACAAATGTGGAGCCTGTGTGGAACAAGCAGCAACTATTACAACCACTAAATATAAATCTCTTTTTTACACCAAAAGATTGATGTTATAAATATTAAATATGCTGGCACAGTGAGCCAAAGTAGCATAATACTTTTGAGGACAGTTGGTTAATATGGTAGCTTATTTTATGCATTGAAGCCACTTTAAAGAAACTTGGAATCTGATCTGAAGATGTAATGGATACAAAAATGTTCAGTTAGAACGGACTGTATCAGGTTGTACTTCACTCTTTACGGGCAGATTTAGCTGCAGTAACTCGTAGTTATTCATTGTCTTGTCTGATCTGTTTTCCCCTACTACACTCCCATACTGACCCCTGGACTTTTTCGATAAGTTTGCCTGTTTCCATTTGCCAGCCTTTTTTTTTTTGACCAAATTTAACATAAGCTGCTTATCGCTAGGTCATGCATCTGGGTTCAAACCTGGTCAAAAACCACTCTGATGAGAGCAGTCAGAGTGAAATAAAAAAGTGAAGTAGTGGGCCTGAAAACCTTCAATTTAATTAAAATAAACAGTTCATTAAAAGACATTGAAATGTTTGTGTTTCATTACTATGAGCAATCCCTTTGACATACAAGTAGTCACGTGGTCCCTTGTTATCACAAAACTGCTGATTTATAGCTACATTATTGCTTGTAAAGTAGTTCACCAGGCACGCCAACGTAAGTGGTACTGTAAAAAAAACAGAACATGGCCTCCCAGAGGGCAAATCACACGTCACATCTCAGCTTTGTTTTTCAACAGAGGGAGGCAGTGATAAGGACACTAGAGTATTACACTCATTAACATAATAAACAACTTCAACATGTATCTTAAGTCAAGGCATTACCATTTTCTAACCATCACTGATTTTCTCAGTGGGCGTGAGTGTGAGTCGCAAATTCATTCTCTTAGCTTCTTGTTCACACTAGTTTGAGAGCACTGTCAACACTCTTGCATCCTGGGAAAAGTGTGAATGAGCTCATTTATTCACTGGAGAGACGTAGTGATATTCAAATTATGAAGTAGCTTCATAATTAATTTATAATTATCTCTATATATGAAGCCACTAGTCTGACTTTTGGGGGCACAAAATCACAGTTATGGGCAGGGCAGTATTCTAAATGTCACACCTGACTGCAGCGAACCTGAAAAAGAAGCAATTATGAGTTAAGACGATACATAAACATCTCTAAACAAACTAATCCTGACATCTAAAATTCCAGCTATCTTACCTAGCAGCTTCCACTACGACAAAGATGGTGGTATCTCATCCTTTAAGGCAGGCCTCCAGGGCTAACCTCTGCCACCAAAAGACAACATCAGGACAGTATCTGAAAGGTGTTTTTTTTTATGATGACATGGGATAACCATATTTACATATTTATGTTCCTCTGTAGCTGGAGGAAAGCCAGAAGAAAAACATCTGGTGTCACTTGACTTGACGTGAATATGTTTTTCCATTTATTCTCCTCTCTAATCTTATGATTGCCCAGCCTGTTCTTATTCTCAGGCCGTCTCATACACACACAAACACACACACACACAGGATACCCTTCAGCATCTGTATGAGACACACTGCGCTTCAGTTTAAACCCATCCGTAGTAAGAGAAGTAAAGAGAAGTAAGAGAAAGTCCGCACCTGGAGGTGGATGGATGGCTCAAACAAACACAAAGAGACAGGAGTTATTGGAAGTTTTAACTTACAGGAGTTACGTGCATGATGCAACTAGCGTCCAGGATTTGCAGCATCACTTTTTAACATACATATTTACATACATATTTTACCCAAAGCATGATCTTTTCCTTCCTAAGTATTTTTATGCCAAAGCCTAACCAAACTGTGACAGTTTCTAAACGTGTTAAAAAGGCTTTCTGGCAGCCTGGTGCGTCTCATACAGACGCTGAGGGGTACCGTGTATACGCAGAGGGGGTGTGACGAAGCGTTGGTATTTGACGACGGATGTAAATGTGTTGGATTGCCACCTTGCCCACACATTTTAAGGTATAGTCCATGCCTCCACCTGTCATGTCTACCAGGACCTCTAGTATTGTCTCGCTGTGGTATCTGTAGCACTGCAGTATTCCAATAATCCTGGTTGCCCTGGCTGCATTACAACCCATGATTGCTGCAAGGCCCAGTGCTCCCGGGCCAAATACACAGAATGACCTGGCTTTTACCTAACCCTACTTAGAGTACAAAGTAAATAATAGTGTTGGACTGTAAATATACTAAGCTGATCAATACATGCTAGGGCTTATTAAAGCAAAACTTTATTTTTCAACCTGGACAACAGTTTTTGAAATTGGTCCAATATGGAGAGAGACAGGAAGGGCAATTGTGCACCGTCAATGGACATTTACTAAAAATGATTCCTATATTCAGGTGATTAAACACTAATGAAAACATACCTATAAATATTCAATTTTTTCCAATAGATCCTACAAAATGTTACACATTGGACCTTTAAAGACTAAGATCGTTGTTGTTTAACCAGAAACGGCCATTACATCGCTCTGTTCAAAGCCACCAGACTCCACTGACAAAAACGGTAATTTTACCTTGCAGAACACAAGAGTTGCTGGTCTAACACTGCCTTGATCGGTTAGTTTGTTTGCATGAATTTGGTGTTTTTAACCCTTTAAAACACCAAAGTCACACAATAACACAAACAAAAACACCAGAACAAGCACTTCTAGTAAACGTATGAAGATGCCCAAATGCTGGACTCAATTCAAAAACTGTTGTCCCCATTACTCACTGACACAAAAACATGGGAAAATAGGGTCCAGGTTGAAAAATGCTGATGTTTCCCTTTAACTTTGTCTAGCAGGCAGCTGGCTCAGTGTGACCGTCTGCTCCGCCTATGATTAAACGCTAACATTACTGCTTTATGCAAGATTTGATTGGCTATATCGAAAAAAGGATACCTAACTCACGTGAAATTAATGCAAAGCCACAGGGTGCCATCATAAAAGATGATGATGAAAGAATGAAAGTAAAATATAAAAAATACAGTTCTTTTGGTTTTTGATTTGTCCTCAAAGGATGAGGACCAGTGATTTACAGATCAGATGCGTGTGTTTTAGCAGGCAAAACTTCTTTCAGCTGGACATAACGCTGTCTGTCAAGTTAAGCAAATACTGATATTAACTAAGCTGGTGTGACTAAATTCTGAAAACTGTTTGACAAGAACACTTTTGTCACACTAAACACAATGCAAAAAAGAGTTTAATAACATGACTGTAGACACTTCCAGTGACAAAATCTAGATACAACACAGCAAAACCAAAACACCAACAAGGAAGTAACACATCCCATCTGCTTATATGAACACTGCAGATTATTCTCACAATCTGCACATAGTTCATTGAATAGTGTTGATTGTTCAAAGTCAGTCACGTATACTGTACATCATTTGATAGATCTCTTTATAATGTGCATTGCATTGTGTTAGATTCAGTAAAACACAGCTGCAGGTCATTCACTCAGTTTGGTGCCACTGAAAGCCACACACTGGTCTTACTGTGGAGAAACACTCAGGACTGTCCGGATGCTGTGGAGCAAAAACAACAGAAATTAGAGGATTGCACTCATTAGTGTTTCATCTGGGTAACTAGTCAGTGACTCTTGAATGAAGAAATGAAGAAAGTATAGGAGTGCAAACCTACCATTTGCCTTCTTTCATCAGTTCAATGGCATCATTGACCTTGTCCAAGGCCATGTTGTGAGTGATGAACTCATCCAGCTTCACCTTCTTGTCCAGGTAGGCTTTGACCATATAAGGCACGCCATCCTTACTCTTAAATCCTGAGCCACAGAGAACACACACATAATTAAATAATAGCAAGCATGGAGTCCTTTCTTAATAATAGTTGTTGAATGATTGCAGAGGTCTAGCCTCTTTTGTGTACTGTCCCAGCACAGGTAGTTCTGTTAAAAGGATTTTAGGATAAGCCTTTTGGCTGTACCTGCTACTAATAAGCCAAACATACAAGAAATGCCTTTGGTTGCCAATCAACAAGAAAAGAAAGCAGGCCCTTACAGTACTTGAACTGAACGACTAACCCCTTAAGCAAAATATTACTTTCAATTCAATTCAATTCAATTTTATTTGTATAGCGCGAGAGGTAAAGACAGAAGGACAGAGACAGACTTTGATGCCTTGTCCAGTCCAATACGTATGTTAATTATGCTAACCAAAGGCTAAAGCTAATTAGCTATATTAGCTAACAAAATAAAACCAGAAACAAACAAAAACCTGTTTTCATTGAATCTTGTCTGTCCCAGACAAGCCTCCCATTTATACGTCATGGCTCACTGGCAAGATGATGTTAGATCTAGTTAAACTACGTACCCACTCTGGGTCCATACCTTCACTCCCTCCTCTGGTTGGTTCTTATTACAGAAGACCCACCCACTTGAGATAGACAACCAATCAAATGACAAATGATGACCTGTGATAGTTGATGACACAAGTCTCACCTCCAAACAGGGAACCCTTCCATGTGCGTCCAGAGATGAGTTGAACGGGTCGGGCAGAAAAATCCTCCATGTCTGTCCAGCCAACAATCACGCTGACGCCCCAACCTGGTATACAAGACTCCAAGGCACTGCGCTGAAGGAGAAACAGCACACATTTAGTCGGCTTATAATCAGAAAGGTGCTGGTCCAAATCTCTGGCCTGTCTGAGAAAATGTTAACTGAATAACCCTCACATCTTCTTCAGTAACTACTCAAATAAAGGTTGTTGTTTAAATAGTTAGGTAACAACATCTTCATTATATTTTTTAATCAAATTAAATCTCCCTACCATGACTTTCACATTCCCGACACATTCCAGGGAGAAGTCCACTCCTCCGTTGGTCATCTCAGCAAGCACTTCACTGATGGGTTTATCATGATCCTTGGGGTTCACAAAGTCGGTCGCGCCAAACACCTTAGCCTTCTCAAACTTCTCTGGATTGATATCCACGGCGATGATCCTCTCGGCTCCTGCAGACTTGCAGCCCATGACTGCAGCCAAACCCACGGCTCCAAGGCCAAACACAGCACATGTGGAGCCTGGTTCCACCTAAAGTAAAACAGACTTCAATTAATAGGTTGGACATGCTCCATAAAATGATAATCAATGGAACGTTTTTTTGTCCCATCATGAGTGATTACCGTGTTGTTTCAATTTAATAATAATGATCAAACATACACACCTTAGCAGTATTAACTGCTGCTCCATATCCTGTGCAGATACCACAGCCGAGGAGACAGACTTTTTCCAGAGGGGCTGCAGGGTCGATCTTAGCCACAGCCATCTGGTTAATCACAGTGTACTCAGAGAAGGTACTGGTTCCCATAAACTGCAGCACCTTCTTGCCCTTACAGGTAAACCTGGACTCTGGTGATGCCATCACATCAGGATTATCAGCGGCCCTGAACAGAGAATTTATTCAAATGAAAAAAACAACTTTCAAAGTTTCGCATTGCTCCTGTTCTACAGGGTAAGGCTGTCGAAGTGAAAGAATTTCCTATGTGGTGATCTAGGGAGGCTCAGCATCATGGCATGCAGCATTAGCGCCAGTATATTTTTTGTTGCAAACACCACAGTTGTGGTGAATTGGGACAATTACCAGTCTACATTTTCCACTAAAAAGACTGCCAGTGGTTCCAGTCAGGAGATTTTCCACAGCAAGTGAGGAGGAGGCTACCTGACTTCCTCATGTTTGATATTGTAATCATGGGCAAAAACGATCCCATCACATGACACTATTGTGCTTGTAATTCTATGAATGAATGAATTGCAGGATATTGAGTAGCAGAGATAGAATCCTCCTGTATTTTAGAAAGCACGTGTGCTGTGTCACGTCTATTAAATTTATTTTCTTAAAAAACGAAAGACTGAACATGACGTGATGTGATGTGTTGTGTTGTGGCGGTTGCTTGCCATCCCCTGCGGTTGGAGTGTCAATAGCGCTGTATTTCATGCAGTTATCGCAACAGGCCTATGAGAGCGATATGCCATAAAATGAAAAACCAAAACTCCAAACTGTTCTGTGTCATCATCAGACAGCACCACAAGTTGCTCTGCTGACATAGTGACCATTACGATGATATACTGTAACATAGAGCATTAAATGCACCAACATACCTTATGAACTCATCCTGGATAAATGAAATGAAAAGATGAGCTTACCATCCTTTCTCACACTCGTTGGTCTTAGGACTCTTACAGAAGCGACACTCTCCACACTGGGCGATGAACAGAGGAATCACCTTGTCTCCTGAAATTGAGAAGCAATATAACCATGTCAAAGGAATTTTAGGTTACAAAACAACAAATCAAATAGGGAACCCGACCTGTCAGAACTACTAACTACTGAGCTTTAACTGACCTGGTTGAAATTCAGTGACTCCAGGCCCAACGCTCTCTACAATGCCGGCTCCTTCATGACCAAGGACAGCTGGGAAGCCTTGTTCATGCATACCCTCAAAGAGATGATACAGGTCCGTGTGGCACAGCCCGGTTGCCACAACCTGCACAGAAGAATACACCCATACAATTAAGACACTTATTTCTTCAACAGTTGGGTGCTGTGCTTTCTTTAAACCTGCATTAGCATATGACAGTTTGCTAAACCCTTTCCCCAAATAGCAATTGGTTAGTGAAGTCCCAAAAATGTACTACAAAGTATACTCATTTGATAACGCTTACTCAAAGGTGCAAAAAGACATCTCTGTATATGTGCATGTGTAGGTCTTGAAAGCGGACGTGTCTCACCTTGATGCGGACCTCGTTGGCCTCAGGCGGGGCTACCTCAATCTCCTCCATCACCAGAGGCTTGTTGGGCTCCCAGGCCACTGCCGCCTTGCACTTGATGACCTAGAGGGCAGAGACAATGCATGAAGAGTCACATTATTGGGTCAAACTAAACTAGGATGGGGTTCTGGAAAGGCGTCAAGGCAGTTTCCTGAAACCCTACAAGCACCCACCCAAGTAGCAGGTGTAATTTTAAGTGCTTTTACATTAACCTGGAAAACAAGTGGAGAGAGTATTTTATTGCGTTTCACTGTGCCTAGTTGAGTGTTTTATAATACATTTCAAGGCAAACACTCATGTAGAGGCTTCAGATTGATTTATATGCTACCATGAAAATGTTCATCAGAGCAAACAATAAACAAATGGTTTTTACAAATTCACTGCACACTTTGTAATTACATATTAACAGTGTAGTAGTGGATTTCTAATTCTCTGATACAGCTGCTCCTGAAAGAGCAAACATCACATGCAAAGCAACAGTTTAAAGTCCAATGACATATTTGACAAACATAGATTTGATTAGAGCATTATAATGTAATGTTGGCAAGTTTAGTAGAACTGAGTAAATCAATGAGTTAATCAGTTGTTGACATACATGGTGACAAAGTGGTTTGAAATTAAGTTTTTGGCAATTTTTTTATTCCACTGTGGAACTACAATAAATTCTTGCACTTCGACCATTATGTCTTTTGGCATACAACCCCATCGTCTTTGCCAACATCCCTAGCTGTGCAAAACCATCTATAGTTTCCAACTATGTGTCAAAAGAGGACATGCAATATTTCTCTGAGGCAGAGGGGACAGAACGAGGAATAGATGATTTTATTTTGCTATTTGGATTGCAGTAAGAATAATAATTCTAAGTTGGTTTGAGGGAAATAAACATGCATGTGTAAAGAGAATTAGATTAAAACAAAGCAATTACGAGCACTAAAGCAAGCTGTCAGGCATCAGCTTCACCCACCCACACTTCAACCATTGAATTACCATCACATACAAATAAAATGCACTTATTATGATCACTTAAGAATCTCATAAAATTCTCATAAGTCTTAGTTTCTTACTATACTTATACTATACTCTTAAGAAGTCATTAAACATCTCAGTTGTTCATGAGAGCACTCCCATATTGAATTAGGTACCTACCTTACCAGCTGTGGCCATTTTTGCAACAAAAAAAAACGAGGGGTCAGTTGAGCAAGAAAGGAGCTGCAGGACTGGACAGACACGAGAGACTACTTGAGGTTTAAATAGCCAACTGCTGCAAGATAAAGCCCTTCCGTAAACATTCAGATGGGCGGGGACTTTGTTTTGAATGAACTTTGAGTTGTTGGTTCTCAATAACTGTAGAAAACATTAAAAAAGAAAGAAAAACTGCTCCTGAGACTCAAATCTGGCCAACAGATCTGGAAGCTGTGTGGAGCTGAATTGGCAAAAACAAGCAGCAACCAGATGATGACTGTAAATCATGCAAATATACAATTTTGAAGCAGACATTTTCTTGATAAAATCCTTTTCAGTACAACAGTAAATTAGTTTGTGGGGTAACATTTTATGTGAAACAAAACAAATGAAACAAAAAAAACAAAAACAGCTAATATCTACAGTGTACACACTGATCCTAGAAACTCCCCAGCAAAGTTACCCAGCCTTTTTTCTTGTAACTTTAAAGGGCAAATAAATTCTTCACTTCATTGTCTCACTATGGCCCACCATTTAAGTTCAGCTATTACCTGCATTTATATCTGAATGATAAAATGTATCCGTTTTCATTATTCTTTTAGTCATTGATTGTTTATTTTTAACTGTTCGATCAATAAATTCATCACAGCAAACTGCAGTGCAAATGCAAACCTGTTTCAAATTGGTATAAGGTAAGAGAAAATTAACATACACACACTCATTATTATTATTTAGCCAAATAATCACAATTTTACTACAATGACATCTTCTATTTGAAATAAAAAAGTAAAAATTAAAAAAGCGAAGGAGATCAAACTATCTAAATATTTACAATTTCAACAAACTATTTACATATGGGCTAAAACAATAGGAACACACTAATGCAGAGATCCAGAGAGAAAGAGTGAGAGAGAAGGTCAAATGAACTATGTACATATTTACTAGCTGTATGTACACCCGAATACAGAGATCCAGAGAGAAAGCAAGAGAGAAGGTCAAATGAGCTATTTACATATCAGTTACATTAACACTGTAATCCAGAGACAGAGAGAGGGTGATGACAGCCTGCGCAGGGCCCAAGAAGAGAGGGAGAGACCCTGACGCTGTTAGCAGAAGAGCTGTGGACTGAGATTACTCTGAGCAACATGAATGAATTACAATATAATGTATGTAAATATATTTCTTGATAATCTGAATAAACCAAATCTAGCAAAAAAGTTGCCAAATAGGATCTCACTATGACTGATTTTGTTTGTCTCAGCAAATGTGATGTAGCATAAAGCTTGTGCTGGTAAATATTCCATGATGCATAAACATAATAATTTCATTTGGACTGATATATGAACTGGTACTACTGCACCATTAGTGTCCCAGTCACTGTATCTATCCAGGTGGTACTTTTACTGTCTCTGGGACCACAGGACATCCTTAATTTCGAGCACTGTGGTAGTGAAGCCATAAGCATGTTAAAAAACAAGGCTTCCTGTGGATTCCCAAAGCACCCAAACACTTTACTTAGAGCCTAATCCTTAGCCAACCACCTAGTTTCCCCTGTTGGGCACAGTTGCCTGTAATGCTTGCCCTGACTCATCTCTTCCCACTTACTCTCTTATGAACACTGCTGTATCATTTAGCAGTGCAAACAGTACCGCACTTTTCACATCACAGCCTGTTGTGTCTGCCAGCATAAGATTCATAAGATGTGAGTAACACCATATATGAATCTGAGTAGGGGATCGCTCAGAGAGAAGTGTAAAGAACCCACAATACTGTCCCTGCATTCTAGCTACACTATCCATTGAGTTGCCCAGAGGTGTGCCAACGTTTATATCGAGCTTCAGAAATACTTTTACCAGCTCTCTAAAATGCTTCCCTGTTGATGATTTACAGATAATAATCAGTCTTTCATGGTCCTTTGACCTGCTATCTTGTGTCGTCTACTTGGACTGAAAACATGTCTAATTTCCTCTACAATAGTGGTCTTTCTTAGTTGGCTGATGACACTGTGTCTTTTGACAGCAGGGTAAGCAACACTACTACACTACAGAAACCAACATGAGTTGGAAGACCATGGGTTGGGGAAGAGACTGGAGATGAGTGTTCAGGCATGAGGTGTAAATACCTCATCCATGACCAGGTTTCAGCCCTGGTCTTGCCTGGTAGCATAGTATGTTTATGAAAAGGGACTTGCCATAAAAGCAGCTAGTGGAAGAATGCAATGGCTATTTTGAACACTTGTATTCCCTTCCTAGCCTGCTTTCTGTCATCTTTCTCTGCCTGCCAGATCCTTGGAACTACTGGACTGGAGCCAGTCCCCTGGAGCCTTTGACTGCCACGGGGCATCCAAGCCTCAGGCCGTGCTTGGGCCAAGCAATATTCACTCGAAATGAAGGATGTCTGGGACAATTATGGGCAACAGTAGAGAAATGTATCATTACAAATATAATTATTACTTGTATGTGTCATGGAATATATATCATCTAAATCGTAAGGTGTTCAAATTTAAAAAAGCTCTACACTATGTCACAGAGAGACCAGTGTTGCCAACTTGACATCTTTCTCAGTAGTTTTTACGACTTTTCACTTTAATTCATTCCCATGCATGCTGCATACAGCACCAGGGTCTCTCCTCTTGTGCTGTGCAAGCAGTCAGCAGGTGAGGCCTTCTCTCTTACTCTTTCTTTAAGGAGCTCTGGATAAGGAGGTCCTTTTAGTTTGTAAATATGTAAATAGTTAATTTGACCTTCTCTCAATCTCTCCCTCCGGATGTCTGGATTAGAGTGTTCCTATTGCTTAGCCTACATGCAAATAGTTTATCGTAGATTTTTCTTTTTACTTTTTTACTTTAAATATATGATCTCCCTGCAGTGAGTTTGTGATTATTTGGCTAAATAATAATAATTATCACTTTGCTTAGTCTGTCAAAGCATTTTGTAAACTAATAATAAATAAGGGAAATGTAATATAATGTTCAAAGTGTGTTTATGTACATTTCCTTTGCCGTCAATATAAATAAGCAAGAAACATCAAATGACTGAAATAAGAATGAAAACTGATTGTGACCAAACACCCAGAGTGATTATAATTTTTTATTCAGATATATGAACTGGGAACAACTAGCAGAACTTCCATGGCGGACTAGAGTGAGTGAATGAAGTTATAAGAGTTACTGAAACAAAGTTATTAAACTATATTCTTAATGTAAGATAAGATAAGATGTACCTTCATTGATCCCACATAGGAGAAATTCAAATTAGACACAGCAACATAGAGGAAAAGTAGTGCAAAAGAGTACAGAAGTGGAAGTACAATAAGATATCACAAAATAAGAATATTACAAAACATGGCAGTTTAACATGGACTTGATGGAAGGCGACTAATAAAAACGGTTTATTTGAAGGTAATAAAAACACACATTTTCCTATATTCAGGTAATTATACACTAATGAAAACATACCTACGACTATTATATTCCATTACTTCCAATAGATCCTCCTAAATGTTACACACTGGACCTTTAAGCCTGGGAATGTTGAAAGAAGTATTTAGGACAGTTGTGCGACACTCTCTACAGTCCAAACACATGTTGTATTGGTGTGTCTGACAGTCTTGACACTCTGATCTGCCAATAAGTGTACAAGATACGCAAACAGGATGCACAGTTCTCTGAGCTGGGTGGGGAGGGGCTTCCAAAAGACACATGCCCTGGGGCTTCATGGGACCATTATCCAGCCCTGCCTGTAGGAGGTTGAATGAGTTTCTTTGAAGACTGTCATTCAAGGACAAACGTATCTACCATCTCCCGGATAGAGCTCCAATGTTTTGTTGAATGCAATTGGTTACCAAAGTTCTTTCTTGGCTTCAATTGGGCAATTGTTGGCATTCATTGATATTCACTTGTTGTGCATGTTTATGCGAATGCCTTAATATAATATCACTTTAGGAAAACATTCTAATCAATGCACATTATGCATTAACATTTATTTAACAGGTTGACAGTGCAAATTTGTTTGGAACTACTGTATAGCAACTCTCTTTTCAACTCTCTCAACTGTTTTGGGTGTGTTTTTAATAGCCTGGAGGATGGGCAAGGCTTAGTAAATAGCCAGTTGCCCGTTTGTTTGCTAATAGTGTACCAGTAAATCAATAGATTTTAAGGCAAGAGTATTTGCATTCTTGCCCATACAATGTTGTGGCAATGTCTCATAGAGGGGGGCCTGAGCTAAATGTATGATGCATGTATGTTTTTGTTTTAAATAAATGATTTTATTTAAAACATATAGTTGAGCTATCTTTAATCTCTCCATGTGCCCCCTGTCCATAGCAAAAGTACCCGTGGGGTACAAGTAACTGACCTACACTATAGCAACAGAATATGGCTACAGAGGATGCCCTAGTTGTGAAGCAGCCTTCATTAATGTAACCTGTAACCCCAAAAAGTAATGTTAGCCAATGATATGCTAACTTATGGCCTAAAAAATGACACTGTCTTAGGTTATTGCTGTTAGTCTGGCATCCAGGGTGGGGCCCTGGCATGTTAATGTGTCACACCGATATAGGGCTATAGTCTGAGTAGTATAAGAAAGCGTCAAATTACTTGGACATTTTTTGGAAATTGATCTGTTGATATAAATTTGATGTCCCACTTTATAATGTACAATTTTATTGAAGTGTATGGAACATGCATTAAGTGCCAGTATGCAAATAATCTCAAATATTTTAACCTCCCAATTGATGAATATGAACACACCCCCATCACATATAAAACAACAATTTTTATTTGTGTGGTAAAAGACCCATGGAGTGAAACATACTTGCCTGTTTATTAGGTTGGTCTGAATGGTGAGCAGGAAGAAGAGAGAAGGCAGCAGCTAGAGGCATTAAAAATGAATCTGAACAAAATTGAAGGCAATTCAAAATAGCTTTGTTTTTATTGTTTTAATGACCTACTGATACCATTGACATAGGTGACACTTTACATATTATTAATTTGCTGATATGTTGCAAATAGTGCATTTTCTATGATCAAATGCATGGCAATTAGTCAACACAGAGAACATATCCAGTGCTAATTTTAAGTATTGTTGCAAAGTAGTAAAAGAAGTCAAATAAGATTGTAAAAATGAACAAGTTATGACACTATAATCAGAATTCTTAGAAAATGCTTCAAAAGGCACTATATCAGAAAATAATTATCTCTGATGTGTGGTAACTTGCCCTCAACCATTGAAGTGATTGCCTCTATTATTGGCACACTCTAGCAGTTTAAACAAACGCTTCCGGTAATAGTGATAACCATCATCCCCGGGTTACCCTATAGTAAACAAAATATTCTGAATAGCTCCTTTTCAATGAAACAATATAAACTTTGTACAAAATATTGGGACTATATTTAATCCTACACCAGGAAAGCTCATAGACCTTAAAAAGCCATGCCTTTGGGAATCTCCTTTTCATGACCAAAGTGGTTTAATAATTACCCTTGGTAAGGTACAGTAGTTTTCATGGATAGAACATTCCAAGACCAAATACGTTATTCTTCAAAGTCTGGTTATTTTTCACCAAGTACCAATAATTCTGATGGTACTGTATTGATCAACTTCATATTGAGAATAGCATCATTAAGACATCAGACCATAGGTCTTGGGGTTATATATATGTATGTATATCTCCTTTACCTTTATCTCTAAATGCCTGCTTTTAGTATCATTTGATGACTTTCCTGTGTGCAACTTAAAAATACATAAAAAGACATTCTGCATCTATGAGTAACATTGTAACTCTTAGCTTTGAGCTAATGGACAGTCATTGGTAATCCCGGGATTCAGGTTGAGACCTTTTCTACAGTAAGGGAACTAAATAACACAAACACCTCTCATTTACAGTAGCAGACAAACATTAATATGAAAGAAAAAAAGAAGAAGAACCTCCCGAGAGCCCAGACAGATGTACTAACTTTCTCTGGAATGAAGTGGATTTTTATGACAACATTCAAAAAAGTCACATCTAGCAGAACAGTGTATATCATTGAGCACCACCAGCTGTGGTGCGGAGCAGCTTCAATGACTAACTCTTACTGTACATGCATTAGTATGAGGAACGAGTGGTTACACAATACTTGTCAGTGTGCATACGTGCAAGAGGGAATGTATGCATGTGGGATTTTTCCTTTTCTTTTGCTTTTTACAGCTGCCTTCATTTAGGAATGTTGTTGTCTCAAAGCTCAGTAGCACAATGTAATGTAAAAAGACAGGTGTGTATGCGGAAGAAAAGCAAGGTAAAAGTGCAGTAATGCACACATTATTGCCCAAAACCATGCAAGCAAGCCCACAATCTGAGCCCCAGTCACACTGATTTAAGTTATTAATGACTTTTGAGTCACAGCACAGTGATAGCACTTCGCTTTACAAGGCATTAAAACAGTATTATCAAACACAAAGCAATGAGGTTATTACTAATAAGCACCCAAGAGATAGGGTGGAAACCAAGGATATTACAAACAGTGCTGAATCACATCCAGACTAGGTTAAATCTTCTCCTGTCTGGCCTGAAGATATAAGTATCTAAATATAATTTGAATTTTTTACACTTCCTGAACTAAACTGACCCTTTAGACTTTAGCTTTTAATTGGAGCTTTGATGCCAATACACTGGACTTTGTATTGGGCAGGAATTGGCTTTTAAATAAAAAAAGACTAATTTTGGCCTCATAAGCTGCGAGTCATGTTAAACTTGATCTTTGAGGTTGTCCGTGATACATTAAACTGTACAAATACACACTAAGCTGGTCAAGTACAAACACATACTATCACGCATTAATGGTGACATCTAACATAGCTGTGGGAACATGAGGCCGAATGAGTAATAGACGATTAGGAATTAAATTCCCTACTCAAGGTTCAGATATTTCTTTCCATTCTTTTTCAGCAGCTGTGATTTAGTCGTTTCAATTACAATGTTGCTTTCTTAAGTTACCACTCATAAAGACTGGTATTGTTATTAGTCAGCTTTTTAGGTCACCTTCCATGGAGGCTGCCATTGCTATTGTACCACGTTTCTACAGTAGCCCAGAATGGACAAACCAAACACTGGCTCTAGATATGGCTGTTTGCGTTCTTTTGTGCATTTCACGGACACTGTATTTTCTCCTTCGCGATCGGAAAGGGGGGTGAAATGAGGGAGTTGCAATCCGCAGCTACACTGTTAGACACTACTAAATGCTACACGTTAAAATTAAATTGAATTTACTTGAATGATGCCACTGGAAAAGACAAAATACTATGATTAAAGGAGATAACAAAAATATCCAAATGGATAATTTAATTATCCAACAAAAGATGCAATCTGACTAATTAGCTGTCCAATTTGTGAGTGTTACATTACAAATAGTCTTTTATATTTGCATTTGGAATGTATCCAGATATGTTGGATTATTTTGATAGATTCAGCAAATGCTATGATATCTGATGCTGGAGATATGCAGCATAGGGATCCTCTGTCTGTGGGCAGTTTACTTTCTTATGCTACGATAACATGGTTAATGACATGCTCACAAGTACTGTGACTCCATTTCCATTTGGCACTGTTTTACTGACCCAGAGCTGGTGTTTAGGCAGATAAAGTTCTCAAGCTGTAGTTCGTGACTTTTGTTTTCATGGGTTTTTCATGGCTTTTATGAATCCTAATTATGCTAAGTACATTAGCTTACTGCAGAAAGCATTAGACATTTAACGTCCCACTGACCTGAATTAAAGGGAATAGTTTGACATTTTGGGTGTTTTGTCTTTGTTTTAGCAGAGACGATCAATACCACTCTTGTGCCTGTATGACCAATTAGCTTAGCTTAGCTTAGCATAAAAACTGGAAACAGAGGAAGGCATTTGTTTAATTGGTACAGAAGCCAAAATGTGAAAATAAAAATGTGTGGTTTTATGTCGAGTTACTGGCTAGAACGATGTCCCTTCAGGGTAGGATTAGCTAAGCACCTGCTGGATGCAGCTTCATATTTACCTTACAGACAGGAGAATGGTATTCATTTTTTCATCTAACTCTAAGGAGAAAGAAAAGGAAAAAGCATATTTCCCAAAATGCCAAACTATTTCTGTCACTGCATTCAATGTTTAGGGTAATGATCGATCTGCTGTTCAACATCATCTAACTTTGGCATATTTTGTAGTGCTCCATCAATACCACTGTTGAAAATGCCATGTTTAACTCTGATGTTCTACATTTTTAGCCTGTCTAGAACAACCAAGGATGGACAAAAATGTAATGTCAATCAAAATTTCCGTTGGCTCAAGTCAAGCAGTATGGTTTGTACTGCTTCTTGAACCTGACTTGACTCCACGTCTAAAAAGCCCTGCTGGAATTAGCAGGGCTTTTACTTTTCACTAGTCCTATTTCCTGGAGAGAGAAAAAACAGACTTCGTCATGTAGAATGTGCAATGCCACCAAAAACAAGTCTCAAAGCAATGCCAGGTGGATGCTGGGGTTGTAATGTTTAAGAATAAATAAAAATAAAATCAATAAAATCAGCAAATTGCAAAACATCCAGATTTGGATCATTAATTACACAATTCTTAAAATAAAGTTATCTTGCTGACAGACAAGGATGAAATGTGTTCACATAGTCCTATGCAACATCCAGCGATGTCTATTTTTTTTTTTTTTTTTACAAGTGCTAAAAAACTTTACCCCATTAAAGTTCACTTTAGATCCTTATTTGAAAAAAACAACCCAGCAGCTCACAATTTCAAAGACATTTGGAAAGTTGACATTTGTCCACTTCACGTACACAAGGCTTAACACGACGACTGCTACGAGCACTGCAGACATACACACTTAGAAGTCAATAAAGAAAATTCTTAGACCCGAAATGATAAACAAAATGTAATAAAAGCACACAGGAAAAAGCAGAGGTGCTGTTTTTCAGTGTGTTCACTGCAAGTTCAGCAGTTTAGGTAAGGCAAACTACAATTAGAGAATAGTTTTAAGTGTTTTTCCTTTTGTTGAGGGGGGTTACATTATGGCAAGCTAGTGACAAGGGGCACCTGTGCACATCTTGGTCCTTGTGGAAGACTTGTGATCCATCTTGACCCGTTCTGTATTTTCTGGGGTTGTTCAGGTTCACGCCACTTCAGGAGAGGAGCGGTTCATCAGTCGTCAATGTCCTCATACATATTATTGTCAAAGGGCCGCGCCAAAGACGGCTGTATTCTGTGTCTGGAATACTTGAGCTGAAGAAGGTCTCCTACCTCGCTGATGACGCTCAGCGCCTGTGGAGACATTCATACAATAAAAAAAGCTGTCACCATGACGGGCTATATGCGGCTTGAGGAAATTTAAAGCTGCACCAAGCAAGATTTTTTATGGAAAAACACACCTGTCTTGTAAGATTAAATCAAACTTGGGCTGAATGCTACAGATGGACCAAATCTTTCCAATTTTTCATTCCTATTACTTGGCTGTGAGGTGAAGTCACCAGTGGGACATCTTGTTAGGGCACAGGAGGCAACAAGTTCATATAGATACGTCATCTAAACAGCAGCAAGTGTTCATTCTGGCTAAAACTCTTCACCCAAAAAAGAAGATATTCAGTCTTAGAAGTGCATGATTCCTGATTAATAGAATTGTCAACAACAACAACAATACGACTTGAGGATGACTCATATTAACATATTAACATATTAATGAAGGTAACATGTGACACTATTGTACAATATCACCCCAGTTACACCTAGTATTAAAATGAGATCAGCATCCAGAGGTGTTATCCAGATAAGGAAGAACGCATGTTAATGCAAGGTTTAAATGCGTCATGATCAGTCCTCCCTCACCACATCTGGAGGTAGTCTTGCTGTATGTGGATCTCAGGTAGGTGTTAACAAAATCCATACAACGCGCTGGCATCTGTACACAATACAACTGATACAGATCATTATTTTTAGCTAACATAAAATCTAAGTTGTTGTTCAAATTTACAGAGCAAGCAGGCGAGAAGGCTGAAACAGACATGCCTCTAATTACCGATTTATTCTAGCCAAAAGATGCGTTATTTAACAAAACTGCATGAAAAATAAAAGCAATACAGGTGGGAAATAAATTATATAGCTACATTAAAATATAACTGTGTGCAACAGTGTGTGTTGCAATCATCTATGTAGCTGATCTGCTGTTAACAAGGCATATAATATATGTAGACACAGATAAGCCTATACACTGTTACTGCAACACACCAGGACAAACTGACACAATATTATTTATACAAATAAAGGATTATATCTGCTGAATTTACAAGAGGGGACAATTAATCAAGAATTTGTCATAGGCAGCGTTTCACAAAGTTTATAAAGTTTCCCCTCAACAAATCACGAAACTCTTTTTTTTTAAGTATGATGCTGATTTGCCGCAGCTTAAATTACTCACTCGCAGGTTTTTCTCTGGAGGACAAAGATCCGATCTCAATGAGGATAACAAGAATGCATGACAAATACCAGGTGCAAATGCACAGCAAGATCGGATCGTTTATTATCCAGATACAGACAGACAATGCCTTATCACAGCAGGTCAGAATAAAGTTCACTTTCATAGTATTCCAGCAAACCAAGAAAAACCACATATACCATATCCTATAGAAAGCTCCCAGGTTCTAGCAACAATCTGATTTCTACACCAACATTACCCTTTAGGTAAACACAGCAACTGGTCACAGAGACAGGAGATCTCCATCTGCGTTTCATGGGCCTCTTCCATAAATCATCCTAACAGGGCCTCTTTTCTAGAACAGAATGTCTCCTCATGAGCAGAGCATGAATATATGGTAATTTAACAGCAGACTGACAGTTTTGTGGGTGTTGAGTGTGTATTAATGAGGAACAACTCAGGTGTAGACTGATTAAGTGTTGTCTGGTTTCGTTTCTTTTCGGAAAGTATTTTGAATATAATAATGTCCTAGTAAATACGCTTAATTTATATAGCACAACAATGTTACAAACAAGTTTAATGCAATTTGATGTTTCTGGGAACTGGAAGTTTTACTTTGCTGCGTCATGCAAATTTCTTTCTGAAACAATATTTACAACATTTGCTATGCTCACAGGTCGTTGCTAACTGTGTCTGTCTGCCGTTTGGTGCTGAGCAGGTAGCATAAAGTTGGTTTCTTTTTATTTTCTGAAGTGGCTGCCTGCTGCATCTAAAAACAAGGTTAATGAGAGCAGTGAGACTGAGCCAAAACAATAAAGTTGTGGGACGCAAAACCAAAACAATGAGCTAAAATGCTTAAAAGCTCCACAGAGCTAAGGAGACCTGCAGAGTCAGGTGATCATTCTCTGTGGGTTTGTTACTTTTGAGAGCGACCCCTATCACTTTAGAGTGTGAACCCATTATGGCGTCACCCACTGGTTTGTGGAGTACCGTTTTGAAGCCTCGAGTTTGCTGTTTTGGCCGTCGCCATGATAGACGGAGCTAAACAGTACACTAAAATATGTTTCTGAAACAAGAAAGAAATAGGCAACGCATAACATAATCTTGCTTCGTATCTGATCAGCACTGCCTAATTTGACAGTTTGGACGCTGGACGAACTCACTGAGAGTTACCTGTCAATCATATGGTAGCCACACCCAAAAGCATATGCAGCTAGGTCTGTTTTACTCTAAATTGGACCAAAATGTACCAAATGAACATCATAATGTTTGGAAGAAGACTTGAAACAAGCGATTGAGACCATAAACTCATTAGGAAACTGATTACTGAGCTAATAAATGAAGGGAGAAGTCGGCTCATTCTCCATTAGAGTGAATGGTATCAGTCTTTATTGCAGCCAATGGAGCTCCCCCTGCTGGCCTTTACATAGAATGCAGGTTTGTGCTGCACCTCAATTGTGGCAATTATAGCATGTTTGCATCTATGAATCTCTACTCTTGCTTTCCATTGACTTTGTCTGCATCTATGTCAGTCCTACTGTTGCCATGCAACGCACTTGAATGGCATAATTAGACCACTGGCCACAAATTAAGTCTTCTTGGTCTATTCTTCAGAAAGTCAGTGTATATTAGCGTGATTTAACATTTGCTTAAGGTTGCATGGTTGGGATATTAACATGGACAGAGAAATTAAAGGTCTTCAGAAGGACAATAATAAAAGAATTTAGGGTTTAGGTGTCTATGTGTGGGTATGTTTGAATGAGAAGGCAAAAACTGCGAAATCTCACCAGTAGATGAAAGCAACACACAAATCGACATGACACATCAAAGTGCAAGAGAATGATACAGAGAGGAAGGCTAACAAAGAGAGATTTTAACATCATGACAGATAAAAGCACTACAGCACTACAATACTCCCACTCTCTGTCTTCACTTTATTTTATTTTATTTTTTTTGAAGGGCAAGAGGAAGAATATGAGTGTATAACAGCCCCTGATACAGCAGCACTTCTTAGAGACACAGTTTTGCATCTGAGCCAACTAAACCACAAGGACACCCCAATTAGATAGGAGAAAGTTTGCCCACTGCGTGAAACAATCTACACAGAGGTTAAAATGGGAAAAAGACTGGATGTTTGAGACGGAGACTAGAAGACGAAGAGCGGGCAGGTCTGCAGTGAGCTCAGTATTGTAGAAGAGCCCTCATTGAGAAGAGTGGGCGGCTTTTTGATGCGTTGCCAAGAGCAATCAAAGCTGAACAGGCTGCACTTACGCAGAGCAACACATTGAGTAAAGAGGATGGTAAGATAGGAGGACTGAACTCTAAACTCAGGGAATGCACTGTGAATACGCCGCACATTAACCTCCAGAGTGATCCGGCTGACACTTTACTGTAGTTTTTGCATGGTCTCACTTCGATTGAACTTTTCCCAAGGCTCAGAGAGACTGACCCATCTACTTTAGTGGCCTCTGCTGTCGGGATGTCAGACACACTGCTGGGAGGGATTCAGTGCGTCTAAAATGACAAAAATAGATCTCCAGTAGCAGACATTTGGGGTCACAAGAGACCACATCTGTGTCCTTCCAATTACAGTTTCCCCACCCATTAGATGGCTGGTGGGAGGTGCTTAGTGGGGTGACACAAGCAGCAGAGAGAGACACAGAAAGTTTTTGCATTGTCTATGTTGTGTTGTCTAAGTTACCTACTGCAGCCTCATTATGGTCTCTTGGCTTGAAAACAGGAGGGCCCTATTTTAGTATAGTATATTTAGAGTATAACTTTTGAACAAAAGTCCACCTCAGCTAGAACCAGCCCGTATCGCTCACATAAGCCCGCCAGTAGTAGACTTTGGGCACTGGCACCCTCTTTTTGGACTCAAAATCAACAAGCTATATGCAAAAACTCACTTGTGAACAAGTCTTATAATTAGTCATAGCCCCCTGGGACTATATTTAGCAAAAGCACCAGTGAAGGTAGTTCAGTAAGGCTTGGGGCCGACAATTCCGACTAATTCTAATAACCCAGAGTGTGTTTTTCACTGAACAATTATGACATTCCCCTGACTTTTCTCCTGTGTGAGCAGAGCACAGTGAGATCCAGCTACGCCAGACTAGTCAACATCAATATATTTGCAGGCTAAAAGAAAAACGCAGCAGGATTTGCACAAGGTGCGGCGTGTGTAGGAGCTGGAGAAGATCATAGGTCAGCACTAGTTTCACCAGTGAGATATACCTGCCATGTTTGTGGCAATCAGAGTATTTTCTAGAGGCCATGATTTAACAGGTTTTGTGCTGTGGTTTTCACACTAGAGAACATAAACTGTCCAGTTCTTAAGCACTAAAAGCTGATCCCTCTAAATGAGATACACAATGTATGTTGCTCAGCTGTGAGAGCAGTTACTCACCCTGTCGAGCATGTCTTTAGTGTGGGCGGCTGAGATGCAGAAGCGCGCCCGGGACTCGATGATAGGTGTAGCTGGGAAGCCTACAACCACCACCCCGATGTTCCTCTTCAACATCTCCCTGCCAAACGCTCTGGTGGGACAAACATGAGGAGACACAGCAAAAAATGAGGACACAATACTGACGTCCACGGCAAGTACTAGCTTTCAGCACCTAGCAAAATATATTAAATTGGACTCTAAGGAAGGGCTGTCAAACTGCCAGCCAGGGCGACATTTCCGGACCTCCATCCCCCTCCCTCTGGCCCACAGAGAGAGTGGGACGGAGGATTTTTCTTTTGTTAAGTATGACGTTAGTAATGGAAATATTACTATAATATTATAAATATAAGTAAATACTATAAATAAGAACATCCTTAAAGTCTACCAACAGCAGCCAGTCAAAGCTCGAGGCTCACCCTATCTTGGCGGGCATGTAGAGCATCATGGGTACGACAGGCGAGTCCATGTTGCCGTAGATGATGAAGCCCATTTCTCGAAGCCTCTTGCGGAAATAGACTGTGTTCTCTGCCAGCTGTCGCACGCGTTTACGGCCTTGGGAGGACAGGAAACATGAGAGTTAGAAGCAAATGCAATAAAAGTTGCCCACACACACTTTTTAATGATCTAGTTTATTTACAGCGTTATTTACCAGGTCAATCAGATGTAAATGTGTTATGTTGTTAATGTACAGTTTATTTTTGAACTGAATGCTTGCAATCTCTGCTCAGCACAATTTAATACTGGAAGTTAACAAAAAAGGGTTGATTTTCTTTACCACCAGATTTGATCTTTCTGGTAAGGAAAAAAGAAAAAAAGAAAAAGTTATTTAGAGCTCAGTTGATGATGCTTTGAAAAGATGAGAAAAGAAGGTTGACAAGCAGCTGAGAACAATCACATTCATGAGCGAGTGTTACAGCATACAGGCACTGCTGGGAGATCAGCTTTTTAGTTTCTCTGTAATGTTTCCTCCTCCCCCAGGAGAACAGGAGATTTACTGGGTTCTTTGAGAAGCTCGGTTTGCATCAAACACAAGACTGCACACTCTGTTAGTTTGCTCGCATGTTTGGTTCACAACTAGTCAGAAAAAGCTGTCACATGCAGATTATTGCGAATACCGTATAAACAATAGAGTCTGTGTTAGAAGCGAAAATGACACATTTTTCAGGGTTACACAGCACAAAGCATTGAAATAGTAGAGCCGAATGCGAAGGCTCCACCAATTAAAAGCCACGTCACATCCATTCATTCATAAAGAAATATAATTTACTGTGTTTGCAAGTTATTTTAAGGATAATTTTAGACAGGTATTATACTAAGATGGAGGGGTTTGACTATGTCACAGATCCAGTACTGATTTACATCTGGGGGCCAGGGGTGGATCTAGAGGGGTGGTATAAAAATGCCTGGCTACCCCCAGTTGCCACCCCAATTTGGTATCAAATGCTGTTAGATTTAACACATTAATTTAGATACATTTTTGCGTTACAAATGTAAATCAATTTAATGATCTGTTCTGTTTAAGTGATAGTGATAAGTTCCAAACTGTGGGAAACTGTCAGAAGATTTGGAAATAACACATTTATTTATTTCTAAGGCCGCCTTTAACTTTTTTATATTCAATGTTTCACTCACGTGCCACAATATTGTCATGTTTTGAAATATGAGTTGAAATATCTTTTTTGGGGGCTTTCCTAAGTAAACATCAACATTGTTTGTGATTAAATCAGTATATATTTCTGCCAACCCTTAAAGTCTCCATGCCACCCTCTGGACAGAATATTTCTTTAGATCTGCCACTGCCTGGGACAGCAGGAGAACATGATCAACTACAAGCTCCTCAAGCAGTTTTTTCCTCGCAGGCTGTGTACTATCCATAACAAACTCCAACCTAAAGGTTTTGTTTAAACTTGGGTAACAGATATTAAACTTAGGAGCAAGACTGAGGTTAGGTTTTGCCAATGAAAAAGATGGGATTTGTTTACAGATCGGGCTAGTTTTTATTATATTAAATGATGTCACCGCTTGTTATAATAAAAACACTATTCACCAGCAATGAGAAAATCAGAAGTCACAGACGGGTAATTCAGACAAATGTACAGATAATATTTACTATAGAGAAAACCAGTGCAACTTCAACTCTCTTTGAGGAGTAACTGGTCTTTGAGAAGTCTTGGATTTCATTAGTGTGCACTGACACCTGGTGGTAACTGCTGACAATTACAGCAGCTAAGCTTAGATTTACTCCACACTGTCAAACCAGATAGTTGCTCTTAGTTCATTCATTATTCTAATATTATTCTTAATGTTAAGCTACTAAAGTATTAAGAGTCTTTGTTGGTGTTTGCTGCTTCATGAATCTGAAGCGTAAGATGTCTGACCTTGTCGAGCTGCTCTTCTATCTTTTGAAATGATAAATTAACCTCATGCAACCCAACGTTACTGTGTGAGCGGGTGGGCTTCTTTAAAGCATTTGATGTTATTTTAAGAAAAACAACTCTGCTAAGCACAATATTTACTTCTGTAGTTTCTTTCTGATTACATCAAGGGGCTTCTTTTCGTGGTTGGGATATGAGGAGACTCATTTTGGTTTGTCACGGTTAATATTTTAAAGACACAACCGCAAAGAGATGCTCTATCAATTCATTTGTACCCACTTTAGGGACCCCATTTGAGGATTAGTGTAAAAATTGTTTAATGTCAGAAAAAGTACAAAGCATTGGGTCCCTGATTAAAAAAATGTAAAAGGCAAAACATACTGACACACCCACAACTCACATGAAAATGCAGTGAACAGGGAGTCAAAAAAACAAAACGGGAACCCACTTGTTAAAGCCCCACTAGGTGAAACACTTAATAGCCTTAATATTGTTGTACCACTCACCGATCGTTGTGCCATCCTCTCCCATAATGCACTTCATAGAAGTGATGATTTGCTCCACCACAGGAGGAGACATGGAGGTGGCGTAGACCGCACTGTGGGAATGGGAGCGCAGGTACTCAATAAGCTCCTAAACCCAGCAGATACACAGAAGATGTAAGTAGATATGCATGAAGAGCTTTAATCAATCTACAGTCGCTACAACCATGGAGAGTTCAGGGCGCTTTGTTACTGAGGCTTACAGCTTACTTTAGGAGCATGACCCTACATTCGCATAAAAAAAAATCTTTGTAGTTGGTTATAATCATTCATTTTTCCAAATATCATAGAAAATATACTATTTTAAAACAACAGTGTCTGAGATCCAATGCAAACTGCATGTGAGGCAGTAAAGTTGTACAGAAAATGTAGTGTAGTTCTGATCAAAACAGACCCACAGACTTTTCTTTTTCACTTCTAAAAGATTTTAAACTAGATTTTAAACCATTCATCTACGCCAATGCACATTATTGGAAGCTACAACCTGTAACTTGATGACACATTTCTTCTAGAGTTACTGAGATAACGCAGTGCAGGTGCTGACAGTAGATGACAAGAGGCAGTGTCTCCACTCATTTTAAACTTGTCTGCTGAGACTTTGTTTAGAATCCTCAACAGTCCTAAAGGTGTCACAATCTTTTCAGTATTTCCTGGAGACAAAAAAAGTTGTTTATGTCTTGAAGTCAGGATGACTCTGAACCAATACTGCAGTTTTGATAAACTGATGTCCTCTCAGTGATATGTCAGGTATGTGGCATACACGCACTGCGGGGCTGTAAATCCACATTGCTGAGATGACAGGTGTCCTTTTAAAAAAAAAAAAAAAACTTTGCCACTGATCTTGAGATATTTTTTTTTAACTAAGGACTGGGCTACTTAACTGAATATCTATCCATGCCTTGTGATGACAAGAGCTTGACTTCAGCTCATTCTATGCTACCACAGGTTTACACCTTTCTCTTTAACTCAGCCTCTAAAAACAAACAAAATGCCAATCAAAAACCTAAAATCCTCCTTTCTCACCATTTTCCCTGCGATGTATCCCCCCGCGGCGCCGAAGCTCTTGGTAAATGTACCCATCATGACATCCACATCACAGGGGTCTAGGCCGAAGTAATCGACCACACCTCTCCCTCTCGACCCGAGGGCCCCTATGCTGTGGGCCTCGTCTAGGTAAAGGTAGGCCCGGTAGCGCTTCTTCAGGGCAATCACTTCTGGCAGGCGCACTATACTGCCCTCCATGCTGCAAGCAGGAAAAGAGAAAGTAGAAGATGTTACAGCAAGTGTCAAAACATCCTGATGTGTTCGCTTCTTTCCCAGCAACCCAGGAAATATGAGCTGAAGGGCGCACTAGCTGTTCCTCACTCAAGGTCTACGTTGGGACCTGCTGAACAGACTTTATCTGAATGACAGCTGGATGTCTCAAAGTCTCAAATATTATGTTAACATATAAAAAGGTATGCAAACTCGTGAATATAACATAACAATGCCACATGAAACACCAGAGCAGGAAAAACGTGCATGATATGCTTGCATCTCGTAGCTGCAGATTACTATGGAGTGCAGCTCCCAATCCGGAAGAATAAAGTAAAACATCAAAGTTGCTCACTATGTGTTCAACCAGTAAGAGCTAACCAAGCAGTGAATCAGCTCTGTCAACCAGCAATCCTGTCCCAGGAGAGTTGATACTGCTGAACCAAATGGAACTGCATCAACCATCGATATAAGATAAGTGCTGCTTCTGGAAGCCTGTTTTGAAGAATGCTATGGCCGATTGTAAAGCTAATACAGAAAACTAGCTTCAAAAGTAAGAAATTAGATTGAATTTGAGTGCATTTGAAATAGCTGAAATAGCTAAACTGTGTTTTGCTCAATATAGAACTTTTAGGTAAAATCTGTTCCAGTGCATGAGTTCAGATGAAACTACTGCTTGTGCAGTTGAGGTTTGGCAGTGTTCATATTGAAACTAGGAAGGAAATCATGGGGATTTTCAAGTGGACAACGCCTATTGTTCTGCTGCTTTTGTCCAAAAGCACAGAAACATTGATGTCCCTGCCCATGATCTCACTCTCACCACATCTCAGCTGTGTTGGCACAACCACTTTTACATTTCAATAACCTCGAAAGACAAAGCTGAGAAACCAATTAAAAAACTGCAAAATAAAACTTGCCTAATAAAAATGCCTTACTGTGCCCTAAAAGTTTTTATTTAAACATTTAGCAAATAGATAAGCTACCTGTAAATGCCCTCTACCACTATGAGGATCTTCATCCACGGTCTGTGAGTCCTGGGCTGCCCGTGAACTATGGCTTCTCTCAGCAGTTTCTCTAGGCTCTGCATGTCTGCCAGGAAAGATCAAGACAGTGTTACACTCAAAATGAAAGTTGTGGCAGAACCACACAGAGAAACACTTGCAGGTGGAAATTCATTAGAAGAAAGTGAAATGATCCTCTTCACAGTTTCAATACATCCCCAAACAAAGCATGAGGATGCCCACACTACAGAATATTGAGTGTTATATTAAAAACAGAATCGAACGCAGTCAGATTCTTCAATAAAGTTGTTCTAAGCACATTAGCTGTACTTGAACTGAAATGGGGCACTGCATTTGAGCAAAAATAAAAACCCAAACTATATACTTTCAAAATAACTTGCAGATTTGTTTTGTGTTTGTGGCTGTAGCTGGCAAGATAAGATACATTAAACAATAAACTGACTTTATACCAGTTGCTAGTCAATTTCTACTCGTAAGTGGCAAACTGAGGACTTCTTGCTAGATAGCTGGTGGCCAGAGGTGAAAAGGTTGGTTGCTAACCATTAGCTGCTAATTACGCCAACATAGTGATTAGCATTAAGCAGAAAGCTTCTTACTGAGCAGTATCATTATTGTATTATAGAAACCGACCCAGCTGGATTATCCACTAATCCAACCAGATTATCTGTTCAAAAATGACAAACAATGTTTGTATGTGTGTGTAACTGCAGAGCCAAGCTGCAGCTAGTTAGCCTAATGGCTATTCAACAATAAGTGGCTATTCATTTTTTACAACTCATTACATACACAAGTTATTACACATTATAATGAATGCATTTTATGTTCCATTGGAGCAAGAGCCACTTTATAAGTTATCCCATAAATATACTCAATATACTTTTAGTTTGTACTTTTAGTATGTGCTCACATACTAAAGGTATTCACCAATTCACCATTAGCAGCAAGCTAACAAGCTGCCAAGTTTTACACCTGGTAATGGACTACAGATGGAAACTAGCCTTTTGTCAAATGCTGGCACATTTACAACAGTGTTTTTTAATATGCACTGTCCTTGAGAAATAAATAATTTACACCTGTGCTTTTCCTCCAATGACATGTAAATCAAAAAGGTCTATTACTTCCAATAAGCAAAAAGGAAAAAAACACTAGCTAATTATTTTTATTTTAAGGATTAACAGTTTTAGTACGGAACATCTGGCTTCTAAAATGAATCAACAACCGGGGTTGTTTAGGCTTTTCAAAATACTCAAATTATGATACAAGATATAAACAGAGACATAAAATCCAGAGCCAACTCTCCAATAGTGTGTGTCTGCATTGTATATCTTCCACTTTATAAATGACAGCGATGAGTTCATTGAATACCGCAGTGGTGACATGCAGCATATGGCAGGATAAGTACGAAAATCACTATCACTCTAAGTATGTGATATAGTATCTAAGAGATATTGTATGGGATGATGAGGTAATAAGAGCTATAGAGACAGTCTAAAAAAAGAAGCAATGAATGAAGATAAAGACAAACCATTTAAACTCTGGGGCTGAATTGCTCCTATAAATGCAGGTAGGAGACATACTTATACGTAAGTGGGACCAATTTGTTATCACAGACTCACTGTTGTGTTTGAAGACTCTGATGGTGGAACCGGAGAGTCTGGCTCCCAGGACCAGAGAGGCATGGTTCAGCTCATCACTCAGAATCAGACAGCCCTGCAGCACACCGAACCAAATTTATTATGCATAAATGATTCATACATCTGATTTGTTTTAATCCATCTCAAGTAGCACATAGTGTACAGACACATACAGATCTACCTAAAATCTGTTTAACACATATTTTTCACTGGTTGGTGGGTTCGGTGACTGGGTGGAGTATCATTTCATGTTTATGTATAATGATCTGTGCTTTATAGTTTGTGCTGTCTGCCCTATGAGCGAAGTCGCTGAGCGACTACTCTGTAAATTCTGCTGATAGTACTGACATACTTTTACTAAAGTAAAGGATCTGAATATGTCTTCCTCCACTGATCATTTAAAGAAGAAAAAAAAAGGAAGAATTTAAAGCAGCAGTGGTTTCACACTCTGCAGCGTTGGTTTCCTCTCACCAGTTGAAACCAGCTATGTTGTGAAATATCTACCTGTAAAACAATATCAGCAGTGACATGACCAAACAGACTGGTCTGAACTCTTTGTTATTTTTCTCTCTGACATGCAGTCGATCTACCAGTTGCCTATGCCAACAGGAAGTGTTTTCTTCCTGATAAGAGGGCAGAGTTTGGGGTCTGTTTTTGGTGCCACTGCTGACCTGCGATAGCGTAATGTTACGGAACAGTTTTGTTAAAGCTGAACTAATACCAACTTCCCATAATATAAAGAGTGAGTGAGACAGAGGACAGACAGAGAGAGAGGAAAAAGAGGAAAGAAAGTGCTGTGACAACATAAAGTAAGTCTGAGACAAATAGCAAGCCAAAGAGCGGAGACAAGAAGTGGAGGGGAAAGTGTGCTGCGGGAATAAATCACAGCTCTACCAAGGAAACATCTATCAGCTGTGGTCTTACCTTGCCAGCCAGTGCTGGTATGTTCATGGAGTTTGTTGCAAACCCCATCCCAAACGCCATGGCTGACTCAACACCTAGGAACTTAGCCACCAGTTTCTCCATTTCCTCATGTCTGTCCAGGTTACCTGAGATGCAGACATACAGGAGATCACCATAAACACATGCCAATCAGAACCTCGAAGATCTGTACTCACAGTTAAAATGAAAGGAATAGTTTGGGAAATAGGCCTTTTCACTTTTTTGCTCAGAATTACCTGATTGATAACACCATATGCCCATTCAATATTAAGCAGCCAGGAGATGGTTAGCTTAGACAATGACTAGAAGCAGGGTGAAAGAGTTAGCCTTGCTCTGTTTTAAGGGGGGTGCATGCTTAGATTATTCCTTGGGAAGGTGCAGTGACTTCTTGGAGTCTTGTCGTCACTGTGAGGTTGCCAGGACTCCCCCTGGTTTCAGTCATTATGCTAAGCTAACTGGCTGCTGGCTGTAGCTTCATATTCATCATCCCTAAATCTAAAACTACTCCTTTAAAGTTACTGCTTCTGCAGCTAAATAACTATGGACAACTGTAATATTTCAAAGCACCTAAATGATCAAACTTCCATGAGCTGGACCCACATGGAGTCATTCGTCTCTCAGTGCTAGATTATGTGTATGTACTGTGCAGTATATGCATTTCCCACTGACATCTCTTATGGAGCACACTCTACAGCCTTTATCTGAATGTGGTCTGGCCTTCGCCCTGTGGAAGGAGAGAAGCGTCATTGCTTCAACTCTATCAGTAAAAATCTGCTAAGCATATGACTGGCTTCACTTCCTCCAGGGTCATCTCAATCTTATCAGACTCACAATGCAGACTGACCTCAGCTAAAGATATCTAAAGATATAGAGACCCTCGGACACAGCTTTTAGATTTTCTACAACTGAACTGAAAGTTTGATATTTGTTAAGATAACAGATTTGTAACTGTACAAGTTTCTGAGACTCATCCTCTGTGGGTGATGTTTTATTTTGTCCATGTTTAAATTTCCATCTTTGTGCTTGGAGTCATCTCTTTAAATTTGACTATTTTCATTGTTTTATTCTCCATTTTGTTTTTGTGGTGACTTGAAAAAGAGGGCTACTGTTTCCTAACTAACAGGTTAAAGGAATAGTTCAACACTTTGAGAAATATGCTTGCTTGCTTTCTTACTTGCTAAGGGCTAGATAAAAAGATCAATACCACTCTGATGTCTGTTAGCTTAGCTTAGCATAAAGACGGCTTTTTGTTACCTCCTAGTCTTTATGCTAGCTAAGCTAATTACAAGTCTATATACACACTTTCTCAAAGCTCCTTCAAGTCACCAAATGTATTGCCATAATGTTTCATCATGCATCCATGCAGTAAATCAATGTCTGCTGTGTAGGAGACATAAAGAAAAGATATTAAATAAAGTTTTTGATATTTGCATTGTACCCAAACACTATGCATACATTAGGTTCCAGTGACAGCAGAAGTAGCAGTGTGTGTTTGTGTGTTGCCGTGCGTTTGTACCAATCTCCTGCCTGGTGCTCGCAACTCCGACGCCATACTTGATAGTGACCTCTGCTGCAGAGTCAGCACATGGACCAGTGTTCTCAGCAAAGCCGAGGTAATTATATGAGCCCAAGTTAATCACATCCTGCACTACCCGACCTGTGTACCTGGAAGGGAGGGAGGAGAAGATAATCAGACAGAGGAAACAATCAATGAGAGGAAGCTAATGTTTTTGCAAGCTTTTTGGTACTCATCATAATAATAATGACTCGTCCAACCAATTAAAATCTAGACTGAAGTGGAGTTGAAGGCTGGACAGCAACAGAAGTCTGTTTGCTTTTTTAAATCTTTCCAATCTCGTGTGGCATCTGCTGTATTGTTTGATGCAGCTGTCAACCCCCGCCTCTCTCATTGGTACTCCATGTTCTCTGATTTTGGTTTCTGCTCCCTTTGTCGCAGTGTGGGATGTCTGACTTCACACACCTCACTGCCCCTCCACTGAACACTTCCACTGCAGCTCTCCTCCAAACACCAATGAGGCGTCAAGATGACAAATGCTGCGTTGGAGTGATGAGAAAATTCGGACTCGGATTGATTTGCTACAACTGTGGTTCAAATCTACGCTGATGGGATTGAATCCATTTGATCTTCGTGGTTCAGACTTTAGACAATATGTGACTTGAATTGGGTTTAAGCTGTCTTTCTGAACATGGTCTGAGTTAGGGTTAGGGTTAGGGTTAAGGTGTGAGGCTACTTGAAAGCAACACTGTCATCTTATATATCAAACAATTCTGTATAAAGCAGGAAAAAATCCTTCATGTAAAGTAAATGGAAACCACATCAGTATTAACGGTAATCATTACACTACATTATAAATGCAACATTTGGGAAGCATGATGCATGAACGAGGGCAGTTGATTTAAGTCATTTTATATTCCCCCATGCATCAGAGGAAAAGAGTGGAGTAAAGTGTGTGATGGGTGCTGTACAGCTTCAATATGTCTCACACTTAAAGCTGCAGTAGGTAAAAAACTCTGATTCCAGATTCACAAATATATATACACATTCATAAATATGTGCTAGTTTTCTGAGCCTTCTGTGAAAATAAACTAAACTACTGTTGAACAGAAACTTTTGAGGACATCAGCCTGGGCTCTAGTAAACCAAAATAGACTTCTTCTGACTGAAGACCAAAAATGAATTGATCAATTTAGAGATTCAGAAAATAATAAAACTTAATGAACATAAGTTAGTGGCAGCCCTAGTTTATTTCTAATTGTATAAATAATGTCAGATTTTTCCATAGACCAAATCCTCTTTTTTTCTAATATAAACTATGTCACTTTTCTCGGTATTTGTATAATTGAAGATAAGAGTATTAGCACAGTTAGTACTAACCAATGACTGGGGGAATTAACCCCACAACACACTTCCCTTTGCTATTGTCCCATGGAGGCCACAGAGCACTGTGTTTACAGACTTGAATAAAAGGTATGTCTTCCTCACTCAAAAGTCCAGTTGTAGTCACGGGAGGCTCGCTCCATCAGGTCCACTTTGGCCCCCGGGACGCTGCATATAGGCCTGTTCCAGTTGTCTCTTATACGCATGTAGAGGTTTCTGGTGTAAAAGTTCTCAAAATCCTGGTAGAGGGGCACAAAGTCCTACACATGGATGGATAAAGAGAACATCATGAGGAGAAGTAGAAAGGGGGGCATTACTTGGCAGAGAATGTAGGAATGTCACTAATATTTTAGGAGTATAAAAACAACTTCAAAGTAGTACATGCCATTCATTCTTTTGGAAGGCTTATCTGCAAGGAATTCAATCTCTAGAAATATAATCTAAGCACATGACTCTGGGAGTTAATTTTCCTTGGTTCTTGGAGGAAACATCCGTGGGATATCCTCAGGGTGATTTAATGACTTCCCCACATCTATCCCACTAGCTTCCTTTCCTCAACAAAACCGAATAATTGAAAACAATGGGTTTCACTATCAAACGTTACATAACAGGTCAACAACAATGTCAGTGGTCAAGGACGTGTTCCAAATGTGCTGATAACGCCACCATTTAGCTGCGCGTTGACAATTGGGAAGAAAAGCAACGACCCCTTAGGGGTAATGATTAAAACGTTACATTAGCTTCAGTGAGTTTGCCTCTGTCTGAGCTGTTAAGTGTTTCAGCATGAAAACAAACATTTGTTTTGCAATCTATTTTCTGTCTGGGATATCATTACAGTTGACAAGATTACGATAAACTTGAGGTTTTGTTTGCCAAATGTATGCTTCCTCTCGCAACACCAGGCATGACGCAATACTGCCTGAAACGTTTGACATACCAGAGCCTATATAGCTCCTAGTGTTGGCAGGATTTGTGGTGTGCACACATCACTTTGGTTCAGCCCGGTTAACACAACAACAAACGGATCAAGTCTACCCCCCCTCCCCCACCCATTTTCTATCACTCTTGTTCCTACACGAACAAGGCAAACCTTCAGTCGCCAGGCAACATGTAATTAGAGCTCAGGCTACCAAATAAATTCCATTCAGCACCTGAAACACATCTGGCCTTCTTTTCCTTGAGAGCAAATGTTGCTCACGACATTGTAACTGTGCAACCAAAACAATCATAACATCCCAGTTATTATACTGTGGTATAGGCAGCGGACTGCAAATGCATGTGTCTGCTGCTGGAAATCATAACAACATGTTGCCAACCACCATCCTCATAGGGAAACAGCTTCCAAGGATACAAGGTGAAAAAGAACCAGGGTCACAGGTTTAACAGACAAATTCAAACCTGTTTAGATCAGTGACACCATCTTTTATCTCTTCATTTCTGCATTTATAGTCTCGTTTGGTTGCATATTTGTCTTCCTCTTCCTGTCAATGACTGGCCAAACTCAGATGAACTCAAATGATGGTGTGTCGTGTGCCTGTGGCTTCTCTCACCTTCTGTTCCTCCTTCTCCCTGGCGATGTGGCACCTCTCGATCTTCCAGTGTCGTAGGAAGTCGCGGAGGTAGCCGAAGATGGTCAGGATGCCGTAGCCCATGTAGGTAAGCACTGCCACCAGCATGGGCGTCTCCTCAAAAGACTCGATGAAGGACCGGTTATACAGGCTGCCATGATGTGATGCTGCATGGAACTGGGGGACATGGACACCAGAGAATCTACTGTACTGAAACGTCATCAAAACCACAACACTAAATGTTAAAAAATAAAATATTATAATTTAATTATATAATTAATTGAAGCTAACTATTATTCTGTTTGTTTAAGTCAGTATTACTGTATATTATGTATAATAGCTCATAATAGTCTTTGTTCTTATTCCTACAGTTGGATGTTGGAGCTTCACTGTGCAGAATGATGATTTTCAGAGTTTGACACTGGATGGATGTTTTCATATTCATCTGCAAGTTTCTCTGTGCTCATTGAAAATTTGACTTTAAGTGGCGGGTCCTAAGAGCATGATTTGTGACATCGCAAATCATTTTGAAGTCAACCCTGGTCAGTCCTATTTAATAAGCTTTTCCACAGTAGAGGGAAATAGATCGCAATGCATAAAATGCACAGAAGTAAAGCCAGAGTATCAGACTGGGATTTACTAGCCACAGATATTCAAATGAAATGATGGAAAATATTTAAAAACATGACCAGCTTTGATAAAATGTTCTCAAAAATAAAAGTGTGTTTCAGTACATATTATTTCTTTAAATTTGGGATATCACAATTCTGTTTACATGTTGAAACATGAAAACTTTGGATAGAAATGTTCTGTCTGAAATATGGCAATTTTAATGGTTGACAGAATTTTAATCTAATACAGAAAAATATAAAGATTAATGGTTAATTAACCTGTAATGAAGAAATAAAATAAATTACTTGGAGTCTCAGCTTATGTGATATATGCTGGCACTCAGATCTTCTACGCAAGTAAAAGTACCACAGTGTAGAAATACTCTGTTACAAGTTCAAAACATTTAATTATATAGAAAGAAAATCTGAAATGTAAAAGTACTCATTATTCAAAATGGCCCATTTCAGAATAATATCACTGGATTATAACTACTATATTCAATTCTGCAGCTGGTAAAGGCCAATTGTAACTACTTAATGTTTTTATGTTTACTTTATGTAAAGTGTCTTTGAGTATCTAGAAAAGCGCTTGTAAATAAAATGTATTATTATTATTATTAATAATAATGATATACTGCCAAGTAGCTTCATCTATAATAATACATCAGCATTTATTAGTCGATTAGCTGTCAGCTGTATCATCAGCGATAT